GTGTATAGCATAAACTTCGAAACATTTCAAATGAGTTTTGTTTTTTAGTAAGGCCACTCGCCAACCCAGTTACCCGGAGGATCATAGTTGCAAGTAATAAAGGTTTGACCATTGTTACATCTCACTTTTGCACAACCCACCTTCACCGTGTTTCTCCACACGACTTGAGTATAGTGGCCACACACTTTGTTCCAACCACATGTGTTAGTATCATAATCGTAGTCAACTTGCTCGTTCACCCACATCTTCACCGCTGCAACTCCTGACATGCTACCGCTGCTCCAAGCGAGGTTCTCGCCATAGGGACCGCTCGAGTGTTGCAAGGCGCAGTCACCTTTACGCTGGTTCGCGTAGTTGCGAGCATAGGTAGCCACCTTTTCGTCCCACCTTAAGGGACCTACCCCAACCTCGGATCGTGCTCGGTTGTGAGCTGCCACGAAGTCTTGGGGACTGTCTTGGGCTCTTAGGGAAACAATAAAAACTAGGAAAATGGTTGTTGCCAAGATTAGGGCTTGAGCTGAGTTAAAGGTTCTCATCTTTTTCGTTTTTGACGTTTAGAGTATGTAAGTTTTTGTGGGTTTTAGAATTGAGGATTGTAGCTAATTTATATAGTAGTTTTGGATCAGTACTTGTTGAACATTTTATATTTCCAAAATATAATCACTTGTGACTTTTATATTGTTAATTCGTTTACCACAAGTTACAAATTATTTGCAAACTAAAGTATACGGGTCTAATATAGTACTTAGCCAATTAGTTAAGAATACTAGTAGGAAATTTGGATCAAGTGGACATTACTCTCTCTATATTAATTGGAATAGCTAGTAAACTCGAATTTGATTATCTGTGTAGAATATCATCATTGGTTATGTATGAAATTTAAGAATAAACTATACATATTACGTATTCGAGTTTTCAAAAAAAATGGTATGGACGTTGTAGATAGAGTTATTCGTCATGTTCGTGTTTGTCACAGCCCATACACAAATTCATAGGTTTGATCTGCCTGTTTTCCGATCGTAAATGTTTTTTTTTTTGTTTTTTGAGAAACATAAAATGTTAATGGTGATGTGTATAATTATTAAAAAAATTGATTATCTTATTATATAAAGTAGAATGTGCACGATGAGAACGCGAAGCGTAAGCAAAATTCTTATTCATGAGATCATGACATGTGTAATTGTTAATTTAGATTGTGATCTATGTCAATATTAACAAAAAAGAAAATAAGGAATATATTCTAAACAAGAATTATGAACTAATTAAGAAAAAGAAAAAAAAACACGTTCTACTAAAATATGTAATATTTCCAATTT